CTGTCTTGCCACTCATCCATCTCAACATCTTCATATCCGCTACACTCATTCTATGGGTATATTATTTTTTGTTTGCCCAATATTCCGCTCCATAGAACAAAGCTGATCTCACCGCTATCTTATAGAACTTGCTCTTCAACCTCATTGGTAATAATACGATTTTTTATAAATATTCTATTTTGAGGGCTTTGGGGGCAACAAAATGCAGCAATTGGAATTACTGATGGAAGCAGCCTCATTAATCTCCTCTACAACCCCCCAATTTTGGAGGCCTTAGGGGCATTTGTTTCGCCTTGATTTGGCAAATACAGTGTCCTAGGTTAGGGGCTCTTTTAGATATCTTTATTATCATTAGAATAACAATGTTAAAAAAGAAATAATTGATTTTGATTTCATAAAGGGCTAGATCTTAAAATTCACTAAATGGATAGCCTAGATTCATATTAATGGAAGGGATTCATTTTCACTACATCTAAGTTGCAAATTGAATTTTCTTTTTTAAGATTAATTATTGTGATGGATAGAGTGGACATACAAATTTAGAGTTATATAAATACCGCAAACATGGTTTTCTAGAAGTATGGTACTAACTAATGACAAGGTGACAAGAAATCATTTCCCTATATATATATAATTATTAACTCCTCAAAATACAAAAGTTAATGTTATGTGAGTTGTATTTCTTTTAAAAAAAAACTTTTTGTCTAAAAATATATTTAAATAAGTAATTTAATCATTAAGGGTAATTTCAATTTTTTATAATAGCACAATAGTATTTTAGAAATTATTGTTTTGTAACTTTATATATAGAATATCATTGTGATTTTGTAAAAATCTCAATTCTACCCATTAAAGAGTTGACAAAAGTACCAATTATTTTTTAACAGTATTGACATATATGCCCTTACTTGAGGAGCAATAATACCACAAAAAATAAATTTTTTTTTTTTAAAACAGAAACAATATATTTAGTAAATACATCATTCACAACTCTTTTTAACACTAACATTTGCTAGGTTGTGAATTGTAGATTATCCCTATATGTATGTAAGGCGCATCCCGAAAACCCAGTGGAATAGGTTGTAAGGTGCATCTCAAAAACCCAGTGGAATAGGTTGTTTAGATGTTGAAAACCCTTCCATTTGATCATCCCAATCTCACGATGTATGGATATGATAAAAAAAAATTCAAGTCCTAACATAAATGCTTTGTAACACATCATCTAGACCATCTATCTTCAATCAAGTGTTTAAAGATCTGCTTAATTTGCACCAGTTCCATCTATCTTGAATCAAGTGTTTTAAGATCTGCTTAATTTGCACCAGTTTTAGAGCTTTAAGTTTCATAATTTGTAGTGAAAATAGAATTTATGGCGATCAAAAGTTCTCGAACCGCATTTTAGGTGGGTTGAGAGGTGTGGTTCATGTTGAGCAAACAAACATAAGGTGAAAATGTTGCCATTATACTGAGTGAAAATCAGTTGGAAAATTCTTTGAACACAGGAAAAATTTCTGTTTTTTATTTTAATAAATATACCCAAGTAGCACGAGACCAATCATCAATAAAAGTAACAAAATATTACAGTCAGTATAAGAATCAACTAGGGTTGCCCCCCACACATCAAAATGTATCAAATAAAATAGTTCATTTGAAACATGCATAGATGACTGAAAATGAAGTCGTTTGTTTTGATAATTTATAAATTTAACAAGAATGAGAGTTTAAAGATAAAGAAGGCATTAAGATTTTCACAACTTTATCTGAAGGGTGTCCAAATCTTCAATGCCACAATTTATTAATATCAGACTTATCTTGACTAGCAATCAAGGCCTTATTTTCCTGATTAAATATGTATAGCAAATAAGACAATCTTCCTCCCCATAGCCTGGTCATGAAAAGTCACAAAGTTGGGAGAAAAAATAATATTGCAGTTCATACTCTAAATAATTCTGCTAATAGACAATAAATTAAAGGGAAAAGACGACATAAATAGAACTTCAGAATTATGAAACTTTGAAAAAAAAAATGGTTGTATCAACACCATGAACAGGAATCAAAGAACCATTAGCAATAGATACAGGGTTCATATTCTTATTATTTTTTAAGTTGGATATCCACTGCAAGTTACCAGTCATATGATATGTAGCCCCTAAGTCTATAATCCATAGAAAATAACTACAAGGAAACATAAAGCCATAAGGATTACCTGTGTCCTAGCAGGAGGAAAGAAGATCATGTGCAACGGAAGTACCACTCATGTTATTTGGTTGCTGACAAAGATCACATCTAGGACGCCCTCTATTACCGCCACTCTTTCCATCATTGCGATAATTGTCCGAGCTTCTATTTCCACCATTATCGTGATATTTTCTAGTTTCATAATTTTCCAAAAATGAGTTGTGTTTTTCTCCCATAATCGAAATAATGGATTTTTTTTTCTGTTATTTTTTTTTTTCACACTACAAACACTAGAAATTCTAACCCACAAACTTTTTAAAGAAACTTGCGGCCTCACAATAGGAACTAATGCACCGTGCCTCTTGCAATAAATACTAGTTTTAACAAGAGGAAAACATATAGAGAGAAAGGAAACACCATAAAAAACATATATATCTTCAAGGGATCAATAGAGGAGCCAAAAAGAAATGTCAAAAAGAAAAATTTAAACTTCTCACTTATCCAAAAAACCGATCTAAGTAATTGATGCAACTTTCTATAACGGGACTTCTAAGGCATGCTTTTGTGGATAGAAAAAAAACTTGCAAAACTTTTGCATGTCAAAACCTCCTCAAAAATGCAAACCTAGTTTTGCACAATATCCCCCAGAAAAATAAACTTGTAAACCTTTTGCATTTCAAAACTTCCTCAATGTGCAAAACTAGGTTCGCAAATGGGTCTTTCTTTGGTTCTTAGAAATAATCGTAGTCACATAAATAAAGGATTGTAGAGAGAGAAAGATCCACGCTTACCACACAAGAAGAGACTAAAGGAATAAGTAACAAATATTAGATCTCATTATCACCGGCCAGCAATGGATTGTGAGTGATAAAACTGTCTAATATTATGTAGAGATTGCAATAAAAGAAATATAGAGGAGAAAGATAAATAGATCAATACACCACATATGTGGTTCGACAATGGTGTCTACATCCATGAAAGATAAACGAGTATCTCATTCATAAGAATCGCTTTGGTTTACTAAATATTTATAGATTTTTTTAGAAAACATATCGCATACAACTGTAATCCTATAAAATAAAAAACTCAATATAAGAAACTTAATATCTTGTAATATACAAGATTAAAAACTCAATATTTGGTTTTTATAAATGCCAAAAAATAGTCTAAAACTTCTACTCTGCGTAACATGATGCTATATCTATCCCCCTCTCTCACACACAACACAAGAAACAAAACTCCCTTCGTAGCTATAAAGAAAATATAACTGGTATATAACATGTGGAATCTCTTTGAACAAATGCATATGCATGACAATATCTCTCTTTCTCTCTTTTTTTGAACTTTTTTTTTTGTCCCTTTTTTCTTTTTAGAATTTTTTTATTTATTTATCCCTCTTTCCTTGGTATAGAAATGGAGACTGAGATCTAATGCTTTTTTTGAACTCTTTTTTTTCATCCCTCTTTTTTTTGAATTTTTTTTATTTATTTATCCCATTTGCCCTGGTATAGAAATGGGGACCGAGATCTAAAGCTGGGAACTTATCGCCCGACACACTAGCCATTTAACTCGGGCTCGGTTCCTATAACAATCTCTCTCTCTATCTCTCACATAAATAGGAAAAGTCCATTCAGTGCAACCCAGAGTGACAACTGCATATATGACATATGAATACTATACATATAGAAAGCTCCCTCTGACCACTAAGCAGCCATGGAAACCCAGCAAAGGTCTATCTCTCCCTCTAAGCTTATATCACATATACACTAGATGCATAGAAATCTCTCTCTCTCTAAGCTTATAGCACATATCGACACTACATGATTAGAAAACTCTGTCTCTCTCTACACAACTGCACTAGGCAGACATGGCCACCCCAAGAATGATATAGCCCAAAGGAATTCCGACCAAAGCAGCCACTCCACAAGCCAAACTGACCACCCAATCCAAGTTATGTGGAACGAGCACCCATAAATGAAAAGGCAAAGCCAGTAAAAATAAGCCCAGGCCCACAGCTACCAGAGCTCGAACCACTTTCATGGATCTAATAGAATGGGACCCAAAAATTATAAGCAAGAGGAGCCCCCCAGACATCATAAATGCGACAACATAGTCGATCATGAGAATCGCTAATGCGGAACTATGCTTTGAGGCAAAAGGTAGGTGTATGGTGAGGCCAAAGGCTGCAGTGGCCATGGCTATGGCTAAGGAGATGATGTCCTTAGTCTTCAGCTCCGAATCTGCCAGAAAATTGGATGAGCCACTGGAATCTGGAGCCTGTTTGGCGGTTTCCGGCGAGTTTTTGGTAGTTTCCATAGAGGTTTTGGTGGGTTTCGGTGCATGATTGTCAATTGTTGGGGAGGAAGAAGGGATGGAAATGCATATGTAATCCGGCTTTTGGCCACTTTCAGGCTGCTTGATGTTGGGCTCCATCTGTGAGCAGGAGAGAGAACAAGGTGAAGACAGAAAGAGAGAGAGAGGAAAGGCCATAGTTTAGAGAGAGAAAATACCTTTGATCCGAGAGAGAGGCCACCTTTGATCTGCGCCAGAAGCTTGTAATGGAAGGTCCACAGTCTTTATAGTCTAACTTCCATATTATTTATCCAAAAAAATAAAAGAGAGAGGCCTCTGTAATTACTCTCTTTCTCTCTCTCTCTCGCTCTCTCTCAAGCTCTTTTACGGTACCTTTCTCACTGTACGTTTCTCTATATTTCTCCCCTAAAGGTTACCTCGACAGCGAAGACATGGGCTTCTAGAATGTCGTCGCGTGGACCTCTTCAGCCTGATCTCTCTCTCTTACCCCTACCCCTTCTTGATATATGGAAAATGATCTAATACTTGTATAGTAGTATAATACAACTATATTTTAAAAAAATTATATTTTTGGTATTTGTATAACATGAAATTTTGCACACACATTCTCTTCATCCTCACAATCAATGCTAAGGAAAAAAATTTCAATTTGCACCCCATCCAACAATGAATCTCGACCATCCATTTGGTGAAATTCAAGATCTAGGCCTTAACAATTTCGAAATCACTTTGTTATTTTTTTGTATTATTAATCTAATGATGATAACGCTATATAAAAATTATGGGAATAAAATAATCCTTCTAAGGCCTATATCTAACCATCTCAATAAAATGGACGGTTTATATTAATTGGGCTAGAATGAAAACTTTTTAAGCATTTTTTTTAAAAAAAAAAATTTGTGATTGTTCTTCACATTGAAAAGGGTGTCCCCTA